GGGGCTCAGTAGGCATGGTTGGCCACGTAGAGGGACTGCCCGGCGGCCCCCGAGTCGTCCCCGCTGCCCTCGTACTTGCCCAGCGCCGCCAGCCCGTTCACCTGTGGGGAAAGGAAACGTCAGTGGCCTCCGTTGGGGTATGGCCCTCGGGGTCCGCCACTCCCTGGGGACACAACCTTCAGGGTCCCCCACCCCACAGGGACATGGTCCTTGGTATCCCCGTACCCTTGCAACACAGCCCTTGGCATCCCCCTCCCATGGGGACAGAGCCCTCAGCGTCCCCCATCCCCCACAACCCTTGTTGTCCCCCGTCACCCCACGGGACATGGCTTTTGGCATCTCTCCTCCCACAGGGACAGAGCCCTCCATGTCCCATGTCACCCTAGGGGGCATGGCCCATCCCGCAGGGACCTGACCCTTGGCATCCCCCATTGCCCTCTGGAGACGCGGTCCTCACTGTCCCCCATCCCACAGGGAGACAATCCTGTGTGTCCCCCCATGGGGACCACGGCCTTTGGCATCCGGTCCTGTGGGGCACAGCCCTTGGTGTCTCCTGTCACCCCACGGGACATCGCCCTCAGCATCCCCTGTCCCAAGGGGCACAGTCATTGGCGTACCCCCTCCCACGGGGACACAGTCCTTGGTGTCCCTATCACCCCATGGGGACACAGTCCTTGGTGTCCCCATCACCCCATTGGGACACAGCCCTTGGTGTCCCCACCACCCTACGGGACGCAGCCCTCAGCGCCCCTCTCCTGCGGGGGCCATCCCCGTCACCTCTGCGCGCTTGACGAACTCCTCGGTGGCGGCGGTGGCGTTGTCCCGCTGCCCGCGCCAGGCGCCGAGCGCCGATGCCTGCAGCGCCCGCCCGTAGGAGAAGGTGAGGGCCCATGGCCGCACCAGCGGGCACGTGTTGATGGCGTTGAGGTTGATGGAAGCCTCCTCCTCACTCTGACCCCCGGACAGGAAGGTGACACCTGCAGAGAGCGGGGTTATGGCACCAGGGGGGCAACAGGGCATCCCCCTCCTGGTTCCCGCCACGTCCTGGTGCCGGTACCTGGCACGGCTGGGGGCACGGTGCGGCGCAGGGCAGTGACAGTGGCCATGGCGATCTCCTCGGGGCTGTACTTGGTGGGGCAGGAGTGCCCGGGAGTCACCATGTTGGGTTTCAGCAGGGTCCCCTCCAGGTAGACGTGGTGGTCGCTCAGTGCCTTGTAGACAGCTGCCAGCACCTGGGAAGAACGGGCAGCGTGGAGTCCCCCGGCACGGCACAGCACAGCGCGGCACAGTGCCCGCCCTGCTGCCCGCTCCACTGCTCACCTTCTCCGTCACGTACTGGCACCGCTTGAGGTCGTGGTCACCATCAGGCAGGATCTCCGGCTCCACGATGGGCACGATGCCATTCTGCAAACACCAGGCAGATGCCATCACGGGGACATCCCTGGGCATCGCCCCGGCCCCATGGCAATGCGGGCCAACACCTAGACCTTGGGGGTGATGCTCAGCCCCGAGGTTCAATGTCCACCCTTGCCGGTGATGCCCGTCCCAGTGGGGTGATGCCTGGCCCCATGAGGTGATGCCCAGCCTCATGGGGTGATGCCCAGCCCCATGCAGCAATGCCTGGCCCCATGGGTGATGCCCACCCCATGGGGCAATGCCTGGTCCTGGGGGTCAATACCCATCCACGTGAGGTGTTACCCAGCCCATGGGTTGATGTCCAGCCCCAGGGGGTGATACCTAGGCACGGGGGCAATGTTGAGCCCCATGGATCTGTGCCCATCCCTGCGGGGCAATACCTGGCCTCTTAAGTCAACAACCATCCTATGGGTCAATGCCCATCCCGTGGGGCAATGCCCAGCCACAGACACGTACCTGCTGGCAGATGCTGGCATAGCGGGCCAGGACGTTGGCGTTCTCCATGATGGCGAGCGCAGAAGGGGTGTTGTCACTGATTTTCAGCACGCAGCGCCACTTGGCGAAGTCGGCCCCATCCTTCTTGTACTGGGCACAGCGCTCCGACAACCCATCCAGACCTGCCGGGCAGCGTGTCAGCCCTGCAGCCCCAAACCCCGTGGCCCCCGCCCCCCTACCCGCTCCACCTACCCTGCGTGGTGGTCTCGCCATCTGTCCCAGCCAGTGGCACGACACCCTTGTCCACCTGCAGAGAGAAGGGGAATGCAGCACTGAGCCCCACCAGCACCCTCCAAGCACCCTCAGCACCCCACAAACCCACCGGACACCCTCCACACCTTGATGCCCACGACGATGCCCTTGTCCTTGATCATCTGGACGAAGGGGGTGCCGTCATCAGCCTTCTGGTACATGGTCTCGTGGAAGAAGATGACGCCCCCGATGCATTTCTTCACCCGGCTGTCAGCGCTGAAGAGGATCTGGCGGTAAAGCCGGGGGGGTTCTCTTCCGTGTTCTCCACCCCGATCTGGTTGAGGCGCTTCGCCATGCTCCCTGCGGGCACCCAACACCCTCATCAGCCTCGGGCGTGGGGAAAAGGGGTGGCAGGACAGATCCCCCCCACACTGACCTACGGACTCATCGGCGGCCAAGATGCCCTTGCCCGGGGCCACGATGCGCAGCGCGATGTCCGACAGCTCCTTCTTCTGCTCGGTCGTCAGCGCGGGGTATTGGTGCGTCATGGTGGTGGTGGCTGTGAACAGACGGGGGCTGAGTCACGCGCCGGCCGTGCAGCCTCCCCCCCTCCTCCCTTCCACCTTCCTGCCTCACA